CCCTTGTGCCCCTCGCACACCCAGCCGGGCACGTGCGCCCTCGTGCACCCACGCGCGCCCCCTCGCACACCCGCGTGCGTGATTTTTGCTCCTTTTTTTAATTTTTTTTTAATTTTTTTTTTTCCTCCCCCGTTCCCATGGCAACCCCCGCACGGCACACGGCCGCTCTCGGGTTTGAAATAAAAGTTGTTTTTCCCTCCCCTCCTCCTTTTTACTCCACTCTTTTCGCTTTTTTTTTTTTTCTTCTTCTTCTTCTTCTTCTTCTTCTCCCCCCCCCACCCCCCCCCACCTCTTATTTTGATTTCCATTTGGATCATAATCCGCCCGTTGCCATGGCAGCGCTGGCAGCCCATTATGTTCCAGCCCTTGCAGAAAAAGGCCTCGCTCCCCCCCTTTTCCCTTCCCTGCGCCTTTTTCCGAGGGTTTCGGCTCCTCGAACCCCCTCCTGCCCCCCCCCATCCATCCCCCAACCCCAGGTCCTCTCCTGGCCGGCTCCGAGCCCCCCACCCTGCTCCAAGTCCCCTGCCCGGACCCCGCTGCGCGCTCGGCTCCCTCCATCCCCTTAACTCTGCCCCGAGCCCCCTCCTCCTCCCACCCGGACCCCCAGCACCCCATGCCCCCCCCCCGGCACTCCACACGATGGCTTTTGCCTGATTTTGCCCCCCTCGCCTGTCAATTTTCAGCCCCGATGTTCAATTTCCAGGTGGGGCTTCGGGCACCCAAGGGTGCCGCGGTCCCGCTGCGGGCGCAGGACGGGTCCCTTCGGTGTCCCCGTCCCCCCCCTCACCAACACACCCCCCCGGTGCCCTCCCGCGCCGTGCCCACCCCCGGCTGGGAGCAGGAGGTTATGAAAATGAGCCGTGCACCCAGGAGACTGTAATTATCTGCTAAGTGTGAAAGCTGGAGTGATTAATTAAGAGATAATAAAAAGAAAAGGAGGCTGGAGAGGGAATAACGGATGCTTTGATGATAAAACCTGAGGTAAGGCAAGCAATTAGGGGAACCTTTATGGGGAGTTAGCGACGAGCCCCCCGCCGCCCGCGCTGCTGGGGGGGCTGCGTCCCCGCTGGACACCCCACGGGGCCACCAGGGTCCCACAGGTGCAGGGGACACCGAAGGGACACCGAGGGGACAGCGGGGGGCTTCTTGGGGCCGTGGTGGTCCCCGTCCATCCCCGCAGGGTGGTGAGGTGGGTGCCACGGGGCTGGTGGCCCCAAGGATGGGGTGAGCTGGGGAGCACCCATGGGTGCCCAAATGGGGGGTGGCGAGAGAGCCCAGGTGGGCTCGGGGCCAGGCGGAAAGCTGGCTCGGGATTAAATCAAGCTCGAATTAAAGCTGGGGATGTCATTAATGCCGCTCGGCTCGGGTCGGTGGGGCGGAGGTGGCCGACGACCCCGCTCTCACCTCGGAGAGGAGGGTGCCAGGAGGTCACCGCGGGCGGGGGGATGGCCGGAGGTGGGGGCCCTACAGGGAACGGGCAGGAGGCTGCGAGGAGGGGAGCGGGATGGGGCCGCTGTGTCCCCCCCCCGGGGGATGCTTCCCCGGCACCAAACCACGGCCCCAGCTGGGGAGCGGCCGATTCAGCCCTGGCACGGGCGGCCCAGGCAAGTCCCGGCACGGGGCCGTGGCTGCCGGGGCAGGATCCGTCCCCGCCGGCCCCAAAAGCTGCCCCGGCCCCGCTGCGGGGCTGAGCTGGGGCTCGCTGTGTTTTGGGGCAGGATCCGGCCCCTTCTGTATGGGATGTGCCACGGGCTCGGGGCAGGACCCCGCACAAAACCGCGGCACCCCCGGCGCTCACAAAGCGGCTTTGGGGTTCCTGGGGAGGTCGGGACCCTCCCCACCCGCCCCACGTAGCCCCCGTCCTCTCTCCGTGCCGGTGTTGGAGCCCCACGGGGGAGCACCCAGGGGTCCCCCATGCTGCCAGCCCCATCCCCCTGCGCTTAAGCACCTTAATCCCAGGCTGCTCTGATCCCAGTTTGGCCAAACTGGGATCGCTGAAGGGCGCTGCGGGGAACGGGGAGGTGGCAAAGTGCGGGGCTGGGGGTGCCACCCCCAGGTCCCCCTCACTGCGGGGCTGGGGGGACGCGCGGTGACCCTTTGGGGCTCCCTCTCCTCCTCCGAGGTGTTCTGGGGACTGCAGGGTGATGGGGACGATGACGGTGACCCGGAGGGGACCCTGGGGACAGCTGGCAGGGGTCCACGAGCGCTGTAGGATCACGCTGAGCGTGGCACGGGGTTTTGCGGGTGGGTGAAGGGGGTGTGCAGGGCGTTGGGGATGCCCCAAAGCCACCGGTGGCTCCTTCGCTCCCCAAACATCCCCAGCTTCCCCCTGTGCCCATGGAGGGGGGCGATGCCAAGCGCTGGCACCCCCCCAAGCCACGGGGACCGGGGCCACCTTCCCACCCTCCCCGGCCACCACCCTACATCTCGGGAGCTCTCCCGGGGGCTTTTATTACCCCGCAGCAGATGACGGTCAGCTCCCAAATCCCATCACGGCACGCGGGGAGCTGAGCCACCACGGCCCCGGGGGGGGAGCATGGGCAGGTGCCCGCCACCACCCCCAGCAGCTCCCCACGACCACCGAGACCCCTTCGCCTCCACCCGTCTCCAGCAGCCAGATTTGGGGTGCAGCCCCCGCCCAGCCACAAGAAGGGTGGCCCCGTGCCCTGGCACCGTCCCTCCTGCCCCAAAAACCCGGGGCAGCCCCATGTTGTGGGATGCTGGTGCTGCACCGGGGTGGTTGGCATCACCCTAGGGTGCCTGTAGGGGCACGGGGTGGTGGGACCAGAGCCCTGAACCCGCTCCCCACCCAAAAAAAGGCACCAGCATGGGGACCAGAGGGACCGGCCTGACCTCGGAGCGCCCGGTGCCACTCCTGCCCCTTTACCAGGGATGCACCCAGGGGTGAGGGCTCCAAAGGCACCGGGGCTCAGCCACGTTCCCCCAGGGTGTGCAGGGAGCTTGTGGGGTCTCAGCTCAGCCCCACCGGCACCAGAACCCCGGGACGAGCCCCCGCCGCCATCTCTCCGCTGTTTCAATTTCGCTGCTCTTCCTTGGGAGGGAAGAAGGGAGGGAAAGAGGAGAAAAAAAAAAAAAAAAAAGCACCACACACAACAACCCACAGAGAGAAGGAGAAGAAGAATCGCCCAGAAAATGAATAAATATTTCAATTTGAGGCGCAATCACAGCGAGTGATTGAAACGGGGGGAAGAATAATGGGTTTCATTTAGATAAGATACAGAAAATTATTTAGTGAGAAATGAAGAGTGATGAAACCCATTCAACATCTTTGTGCGAGCGGGTGGAACTCCATGAATGGCACAGACCCCCCCCCCCCCGGCACCCACACGCCTGGCTCCAGGTGGGGGGGAGCCCACCAGATTTTGCTCCCACCCCCCAATCCCCTAAATCCCCAAGCATCCCACCTTGGAGAGGGGCCGCGGGGAGGCAGAAGCGCAACTTGGCGGTGGCCGGAGCGAGATGGGGACGGTGGCGGGACGGGGCCGCTCAGACTGGGGGGCACTGGGGGATGCTGGGGGGGTGTTGCCCCCCCCGTCCCCATCCTCGCAGCCCATCCAGCTCGTCCCTGCGGCGAGGCCAGCGCGATGCACATGGCACCGTGCGGGCGCTTTTGTTCCTGGGAGGGCAGCGGAGCCCCGCGGCGCTTCCCCGAGCCCTGCGCGGGGGAGCCTGGGATCGACCCCCCCACACCCCCCCGGCCCCGGCCCTCTAAGAGGCTTTGCTTGCTCCTTTTAAAACCCCCCCGTTCGACTCATTTTTGTTCCTGGCATCTTAGCAACGCCGCCCCCTTAATTAAAAATTAGATTGGATTTTGCAGCAGGGAAGGACCCGGAGGCCGTGCAAGGGGAGGGGGGGGGCTGGCTCGGCGCAGGGCAATGCCCTCGAGCGCCCGGCCATGCACTGACCCCCCCACGTGCCATTTGGGGGGACACAGGGGAGGGGGGGACACCCCAGCTGAGACCCCAGCAGCTCGGTGGCACGCACGGTGCCCGTGCTGTGGGGCCCCACTGGTGGTCGGGGTGGCCGGGGGGGGGCACCGGGGCTGCCCCCAGCCCCTCACCCCTCGCTCTGCGTGACCTTGGCCACGCGGTGCCCCGTGCCTCAGTTTCCCTCGATGGCTCCGTGTGGTCATTTGGGGGGGGTCATGTAGGGACGTGGGGGGGCCGGGCGAGCCCCTGGGTTGCAGCAAGCCCCTAAAACGAGGTGGGGGGGGGGGAAAGGGGGTGCCCCACGCTGTCCCCAGCCCCGCTCCTGAGCGCTGCCCAGGCTGGGAGCTGGGGGTCCCGGCTGCCCCCGGCGCTCGCCCCCTCTCACCGAGATATCCTGGGTGGACGGACAGACAGACGGCTCGGCCAGCATCGCCACGTCCAGGCCGGGTCCCCCCCACACGTCCCCCCCTATTGTGGGGGTCCCCAGAGCTGCCGGGTCCCCCCCCGCCTGCCCCAGCACCGACAAATTCCTGCGTCCGAGCGCCGCGGCCCCCCCGGCCCCCATCTCCTCCGGCCTCACCCCGGCTCCAGCGGGACCGGACCGGGGGTGGGGGGGGGGTGGGGGGCAGGACCCCTGCGGGGGGGCACGGCCCCAACCGGGGGACATCCAGCGGGGCCGAAACCGGGGGGGCCCTGCCCCAAAGCAGAGCCCACCCCGGGCTGCATCAGGACGCAACAAGGGGGGGTCCGTTTGGTGCCAACCCGGGGACGCGGCTCCCCAGCCGGGGTCCACGAGCACAAACCCGGGATCCCAGCCCCCGCTGGGGGGGCTCCCCCAAGACCGTGCCCGGCCCCCCCTTAGCCTCGGGAGCCCCCCCCAGGATCCAGCCGCGGGCTCCCTTGGCCGGAGCCGGGCGCATCCCAGCGGGGCGCGGCGGCACCGCGCGGGTCCGGAGCCGGGTCCCAGCCCCGGGCAGAGCCGAGCCGAGCCGAGCCGTGCCCCGCGAGCCGTGCCAGGCTCCTCGGTGCCCCCCCCTGCCCGGCTCTTACCTTGCCCGTAGGAGTCAGCGAGAGTCAGGAGGCAGAGGAAGAGGATCCGCATGCTCCCGTCCCGGCCGCGCTGCGGGCAGGGGGCGCGGGGGGGGGCCGCTGCCCCGCCGCCCCGCTCGACCCCGCCGCCGCTGCTAGAGCATGGCCCGGCCGGGCAGGGGCCGGGGAAGGGCCGCGGGCTGCGCTGGCTCCGCTCCGAGCCGTGCCGAGCCTCTCCGAGCCGTGCAAAGCCGTGCCGAGCCGTGCCGCGCCGCCCCGGAGTGCGCGCTGCCGGCGGGGCGGGGCCGGGCCGGGGGCGGCAACTCGGGAAAGTTGGGGAGGGGGGAGCGGGGGCGGGGGGGGCGAGAGGGGGCCCGAGCCTTGGGGGGGCGCGGGGGGGCGGCTTTTTGCACGACGGGAGGGGTGCGCACCCGAGGGTTGCGCCTGGACGCGCGTGGGACCTTGGAGTTGCACGCGTGTGCACGAGTGTGCATGCGTGTGCACGAGGCTGCATGCGTGTGCATGAGTGTGCATGCGTGTGCAGGCGCGTGCACGCGTGTTTGTGCGTGTGCACGCGTGGCGGCGCGTGCACGCGTGGCGGCGCGTGCACGCGGGGCGAACACGCGTGTGAGCACGCCGGGGGGGGGACTTTGTGCCGCTGTGCCAGTGCGTGTGCACGCCCGTGCACGCGTGTCACGCCGCACGCGTGCGTCCTGGGGCGTGCGTCCCCCTGCGTGTGCACACTCGGGCACGTGCACGCCAGCTGGACGGGTGTGCAAGGCGTGGGGCTGCCCGGGGTGAGCAGCACCCACCCGGGACCCCACAGCACCCACCCGGGGCAGGGGGCTGCGGGCTGAGCCCCCCTGTCCTCGCCCTGCCTCACCTCTCCGCCGCCGTTCGGGCGGCCTCTCCCCCGCGCCGCACGCTTGCTGATCCTCCCCTCTCTCTATTCCTCTTTTGAAAACTTTCTAAGCCCCAACTGAAGGCCCTGGATATCAGCGGCTCGAAAAATCCTCTTGCCTACAGGCTCCGGGGAAGGGAAGCTTTCCAAGTCGAGCGGAGCGGGCTAAGCCCTCGGTAGAGGCAGAAGCTTCAGCTTTCATGGTTGGGTTTTTATTTTTTTTTCTTGGCTGTTGTTGTTGGGTTTCTTTCTTTCTTTCTTTTCTTTTTTTTTTTAAATAGAATTTCTAGCCCTGAGGGTTTTAGAGAAAACATTGCAAATGGGAACCAGCACCGGCTGCCTGCCTGAGTCAGCAGGCATCTCCTGCGCCCGCCGGCGGCTGCAGCTTTGCCAAGGGTGGAGGAGCGCGGGGCGATGGGCAGGGAGCTGAGGCCGCCTGCGAGCGGGGAGGCCGAGCGCTTGGCTCCAGTGGGGATTTCTGGCAGGGCTTTTGAGCCTTCGCTCTGATTTTTACTTTTTGTCGGAGCTGCTGCCCCCAGCCCGGGCTCTGCACGGGGCGCTGGAGTCGCCGGGTGCCCCCCGTGCCATGCAGGAGGTGGCTCACGGCGCACTGCGGGGGCTCTTCCTCCTCCTCATCCTCTTCCTCCTCTTCCTCGTCCCTCGCAAGGGGTTGGGGGCTGCAGCTTCTCCCCGGCCCTGCCCTGCCCTTTGCCCCCCGCTCGGTGAGCCAGGATCCGGCCCCGCTGCCGGCGGCTCCGCGCTGCCCCCTGGTGCCGCCGCCCGGGCAATAAAAGATGCTGAGCGCCGAGGGCGCCCGGTTCCAGCTGGGGACGAGGCATCGCCGTGTCCCCTGCCCTCCTGAGCCACCAAATCCTGCCCTCGGCTCGCCAAAGCCCCCTGCTCTGCCCCCGGGGATGGAGGGGGGGGCGAGGGGCCAGGGGGATGCCGCCCTCCCCCCGGAGGAATGTGGAGCAGAGGCGATGGAGATAAGTAGGAGGGAGTTTGTCAGGCACGAAGGAAAGGGAGAGAGGTCAGGGGGGAGCGGTGGGGAATTTGCTGACGGGGGGAGGAGAGCAGAGGAGCTGCCACGTTCGCTGCCACGTTCGCTACTCAGGAGCAGGGGGTGGCTGCGGATGGGGCTGGCGCTGGGGGCACCCCAAAACCAAGGCTGGAAGGAGCAGAGCAGGACCCCCTGGCCCCTGCTACGTGCCAGCCACCACGGCATCACGGAGGGATGAGCATCAAGCCCATGGACCCCAGAGTTGGGGCAGGATGAATGAACCCATCCTCGCAGGCAAGCGTGGGCCATCATGGCTTGGGGACACCCTTCGAGGTCCCCGTGGTCCCATCCAGCAGGGTGCTGAGGAGCAGTCAGGAAGGTGCCGGCGGTGCCGGGAGGGGGGCAGCTGGGGACCAGGCTCACGACACCTCCCGGCACCCTGTGCGGGGCCGGAGCTGGCATCAGCGATTTGTTTTCTCCCACTCGCCGAGCGCCGGAGGCAGAACGGGAACTCCCGTGGTGCGCGGCGGTCCATGAAAGCCCATCTGTGCCAATAATAATAACAATCATAATGATATTTATACAGAGCCTAATGTCTCCGAGCAGCTTCCAGAACCCATTTGGAGGCAGCCGCTCGCCTTTGCTCATTACGAGCGGCGCGCTGGAGCGGAATGGCTAACGAACCTGCTCGTTAGCCGGCCCCGGCCCGTGTGGGCGCAGCGCCAGGTGACATCGGCGCGGGGCTGCCCAGGGTCCCCGCCATCCTTTGGTGGCTTTGGTGAGGGCTGGGGAGGTGCCTGGGGGGCTTCAATGCCCGGGGGGCCCTGCCCGGTGCCGCCAGCCCCGCTCGCGGCGTGATGGAGAGGACGGGATTTCGCTTTCCGCTCACCGGGATGGAACAACAGGGAGCAGAAAAATAATTTGAAAGCTTCCGAAAAGCACCTCGGCGGGGAAAGGAGGTGGATTTCCCTCCCCGATTCAATAAGCGGCCGGGCTGGAGAAGCCTACCCCGGCGCCGCAGCCCCGCGTTAGGGCTCTTTATTATTATTATTTCTGTAAAGCAATTACGAGGCAGCCTCCTTGCCTGCACTCCCGTGCTCCCACCAGCGTGACCTCCGTTCCGCCGTAATTAACGGCCTTCCAGGAGGGGAGGCAGCGGGCGCTGCGTGCCCGGCTCCTGCCTGCTCGGCGGATGGTGATTTGCAAAGAGCTGCAGGAGGCTCGATTTCCTAAGGAAACGCAGCTTATGCGCTCGTGCTCCCGCTCCCTGCCAATAACTTCTGAACTCCTTGGCTGATTGAAAACAAATTTCACAAGCGGGTCAAAGTCACGGGGATAAAGGATCTCAGCGGGGCTTCCTCGGGATCCAGCTGCTTCGCCGCTCGCTGCCTCGGTTTCCCCATCAGCAAACCGCTCAGCAGCAGCTCCCCAGGGCCAGCGAGAGCAGAGCCGGGAGCCCTGGGGCTGGCCGGGTGCTGCCTAACCACGGATTTGCCCCAAATGCCAGGGAAATGGCCAAAATGCTGCCTCCAGCATCGTCGCCCCAGGGCCGGGCCAGCCCCAGCTCCGAGCTTCACCCTCTGTCCACCCCTCGCAGCTCACCTCGAGCACCCCAACACTGGTGGAAACACCAGTTGTGTTTCCGAGGTGCCATGGCTGTTTATTCTTTATTTTTTTTCCCTTTCGCACACTAATTCCTGGAGTGTGCTTCCATCTCCTAACGAGGTTTTATTTGTCGTGTTTGTTTGTTCGCCTCCCGGGCTCGGCTCTCGGACAGAGGTGCTAATAAAGCAGACATCTGTCACGGGGGATTAGATTGTGTTCTTGTTAACACGCTGTTTCCTTTAAATAAATAATTGTCCCCCAAACTGGCATTCAATTATTAAAGCAAACACTGGCGCGCGGGTGACGGAGCAGCGTCAGGATGCTCTGGGAGAGCCGCGGAGATCGAGGGACATCCCCAGGCAGTGCCCGTGCGTCCACCCTGTCCCCGTCCCCCCCCCATGGGGACAAACCCGGGGCAAAGTGTGGGAGGTCGCCCTCGCAGCTCTCAGGTGTGAATTTTCTTGCCTGTTCCCTGTCCTCCAGGCTGGGTTTGATTGCCTCCTTCGCAGGCTGTGCCTCAGCATGGGGACCCTATGCCTTGTTCTGGGGACCCCATACCTTGTTTTGGGGACCCTGTGTGTCATCATGGGGACCCTGTCCCTCATTTTGGGGACCCTGTGCCTTGTCGTGGTGACCCTGTGCCTTGTCATAGGGACCCTATGCCTCATTTTGGGGACCCCGTACCTTGTCTTGGGGACCCTGTGCCTCATCTTGGGGACGCTGTCCCTTGTCTTGGGGACCCTGTGCCTTGCCTTGGGGACCCTGTGCCTTGTCATGGAGACCCTGTGTGTCATCATGGGGACCCTGTGCCTCATCTTGGGGACCCTGTCCCTCATTTTGGGGACCCTGTGCCTTGTCAGGGGACCCTGTACCTTGTCATAGGGACCTTGTGCCTCATTTGGGGGACCCTGTGCCTTGTCATAGGGACCCTGTGCCTCATCTTGGGGACCCTGTGCCTCGTTTTGGGGACCCTGTGCCTCGTTTTGGGGACCCTGTGCCTTGTCTTGGGGACCCTGTGCCTTGTCTTGGGGACCCTGTGCCTCGTCTTGGGGACTGCGCTTTTTCATCCCCTTACCCCACGGGTCTGAGGCCCGCTTCATGCACGATTTCCATCAGATCTGGCAAAGAGGCAGAGGAGCGAGATGCTTCGGAAGCGGACGCAGGGAGGGGACGGGGAGCGGAGCTGTGCCGGACAGGGGCCGGGTCTCGGTGCCTGGGGATTTTCCCTCTGCACCGGGCTCCTGCTGCTCCTGCTTAATGACAGCAGGACCTGGGAGAAATACGGCTCTCTCCACACACTCGAGATGTTGAGAGCAAGCCCTGGCCCTTGGCAGGGAGGATTTAGGCTTGCTGGGGGAGATGGAAATGCGTGTTTGCCGGCTGGTGATGATAGCAGCCATAAAGCATGCGCGCGGTGCCCCGTGGTGTTAATAAAGCCCAGGTAACGAGCCTGCCGCCAGCTGGGGCTCCCTGCAGGGGTGCTCGGGGTGTGTGGGGTGCGGGGGGAGCATGAAAATGCTGCTGGGGGGTCTGGGAGATGTAGGGGGGGCACAACTGCTGGGACTGGTACACAAGGCAGGGCTGGATCTGTGCCACCTTGTAGGTGCAAGAAAATGAGCTCCGTGCCCCCAAATCCCCAGGGGGTGGCACCCCCAGAGCCAGACCCTACAAACCCTACACACTCCCTGCACCACGGCCGTGTGGGGATGGTGGATGGGGCAGTGCCAGGCTCTGCACGTCGGGGCAAAACGTCAGAGCGACGCGAAAGCCTGGGGTGCCCCGGCAGGGCTCTCCTTCCCGCTCGTCCTTATTTGCCCAGTCCTAATTCATAAATCAGCAGGCGCGAGTAATTTTCCCAGGAGAGCATTTAGACGGCAGATTGAATGAGTAATTTACTGGGAACATTAAGACGGCACCGGATAACTTATTTATGAGAACTTTTTGACAGATCTGCCCGTCAATAATTTATGCCGCACAGCATTTAGTCAGGGTCACCAGTAAATAATTCACTTATTAAAAAACTACGGAAGGTTTTATGAGACGCTGAGTTACTATCTCACACCGAATTTGGGGCCGTAAACATGAATCTGGTGCTGACCCGGTAGCAGAGGAATCCCTGGATGGGGAGCGCTGGGACCAGGCACTGCAGGGCACGGGGTGGGAGCAGGGACGGGGAGAGGTGTCGCTGGATTTGGGGGCAGCTGCTTCACTTCTCGTCCTCGCAGGGCTCAGTCCTTGGTCACCACGTGGACAGCCTCCTTCAGCATCACCTGTGGACCGAGGAGGGTGGCCACAAAAAAAAACCAGGGCCACACGGTGCCTTCCTCCCCCAGCACCCAGGGGCTGCCCCCTGCCCGTCCCCATTGCGGTGGCGTCTCCTGCGTGGTGCTCAGTGCCCGAACCCGGTCCCACTGTCCCCATTCCTCCTCGAAACACCCCGAAGCATCCCTAGGGATGGGTGCTGGTGCAGCCGGGATGCTCCAGGCTCCCTGCCCGGCATCTCAGCCCCCTCAGCCGAGCAGCGTGGCCCCAGCCGTGCCCCTGGGTCCCCTCCTCTGTGGGGGTGTCTGGGGACCCCCAGTCCGTGGAGCTGTGCCCTGCTGCAGCAGGAAAGCCCTGGGGCTGGTGGAGGGCGATTGCACGAGGCTGGCTGGAGGGATGTGGGTGTTTGTGGGGTGAAGGACGGGGTGATTTGGCATGGGCTTTGCTGAGGAAGGGGCAGCAGCTTTGCTAAGGTGTGCCCGGGTCTGATCCTGCCCTGGGTGCGCAGGGAGGAGGAGGCAGCTCCTGCAGAGCCCATCCTGGCCGTGTGGGTGACAAATAACCCGGTGGGGCTGGAGGAGACCGGGAGAGGGAAGGTGGCCCCGGGCAGCCCCCAGCATCCCAGCCCGTTCCCCGTCAAATCCACCTGGAAGCAGGGGCACGAATTTTGCCATCACCCCACAGCTCAGGCGCTGCGTAAAGCAGCTTTGGGCTTTCATTTGCCTCTTCCCATGGTCACCAGACCTTCCCGACCCTCCTTCCATCCTTGACCCGACCAAAGCGAGAGTTTCCACCGCTCCCAGCTTCACCCCAGCGGTTTGGGGTTAATGCACGGAGCCAGGGGCGGGCTGCACCCTAAGGGGGTGCCCGGGGGTGGGGGGGGACCCCCACCCGGAGCCAGCCCGGCCCGGTGCGCGGTCGCATGCTGCCACCTCTCGGGCAGAGCCGCGCTCTGGGCAGGGCGAGCGTTTTGCCTAAAAGCTTGCTTTTTTCCCCCATTTCATTTACAGCGAAAGGGAAGTCGGGCGCTGCGGGAACGGGCTGCGCCCCCGAGCCGGGGGGCTGCAGGCGAGCTAAAAGCCAGAAGCGATCGCAGCCTCAGCGGGGCAGGGCTGTGGGGTGCCCGTGGGGACCCCCCCCGGCAGCAGCATCCCCCGAGCCTCGCGCAGGGCTCGGGGGCCACATCCTGCACCCCCCCGCAGCATCACCTGCCCGCAGCCGGGGTCAGGGCCGGCAGCGGCCACTTGTCCCCGTGTCCCCGTGTCCCTGAGTCCCCGTGGCCCCGTCCCTCGTGCGGCCACGCGAGCGGCTCCCCCCCGGAGCCCCCCCGGCGCCTGCACATCTCAGGGGCCACATTTCGCTGGAAGGGGGGATGAGAAACCGCGGATGATGCGCTGAATAAAAACACCCTCTCCTCTGCAATGCGGTGCTTCGAGTATGCAGCATCTTCCCTTCCTCCTCAATGTGGTCTGTGAAACGTGGTAAATGCTTCCCTTTCATTCCCTTCCTTTTTTTTTTTCTTTTTTTTTTCTTTTTTTTTTTTCTCCCCTCCCTCTCTCATTTTCTTCCCCCCTCTCTCCCGTGGCTCGCGCTCCCCGGGCAAGCCGCAGAAAGCTCCTCCAGCAAAGGGAAGGTCCCCTTGATGTAAATTGTTCCCTACATGTTGAACCCGGCCGCAGACAAAAGCTCTAATTAATCGGCTCAGCCCCTGCTCTGGAGTGGAGGTTTGCAACCTCGCCTTTCCTTTGGAGCCTTAATTAGTTTTTGCTCCTCTGCCTGCGAGCAGGGGGCCGGGGCCGGGGGAGTCCCCGCGTCCCACGGCACCGCGGGGAGCGGGGACACGCGGGGAAACGGCCCCGAGAGGGCACAGCGGTGACTAATGAGCACCCAGCAATTAATGATGGGCACGTGAGGCATCCTTTTACTGCCCCAAAGGAGAAATGGAGCCAAGTGGTCCCGCGGCAGGGCAGGATGCGCCCCTCGAGGGGGCTGATGCTGCTCCCCCATCGCTTCGGGTGACGGAGGAGCGGGGACCCTGTGCCCATTCCGTGCCTGCTTTGGGGCTGCAGAAAACCCACCCTGGGGAGATGGGAGCTGCCACCGCGGAGTTTTTCCAAGAGTTTTGCCCAGGATCTGCCCAGCTCCCATCCTTTAACACCATCCCTGGGGATGCTGAGGCCCTCGAGAGCATCCCCGGGGTGCGTGGGGCTCCCCTCGGGGCCGCGGCGCTGACCGCTTGGCCGGGGAACGGGAAGGGCTGGGAGACAATGAGCTTAGGCACCAAGCCCATAAGGTGATTAGCGGCAGCGAGGGGATCACAGGGCAGATGCAGACGGCGAGGGGGGGGGACACACACGGATTAGGGGCTCCTCTCCCCTCTCCCTGCATCACGCCCTGGCCGGGGCAGCCGTGCAGGGGACAGTGCGGGGCTGTGCAGGTTTAATTTGGGCAGCCCTGAAATCCCAGGGCAGGAAGCAAAGCGGAGCGGGGTAAAACCACTCTCCGGACAAGCTCATTAATATCTCCCAGCGCCGTCGATTTCGCGGCGTATCTATCGGCCGGGCTAGATAAGGGCCAACAAACCGCTGCCGCCTTCAGATAAGGCGGTGCTCCTTCGCCGTCGCGCCCCGCTCGCAGTTTATCTGACGGCGGCAGATCTGGAGGTAAAGAGATTTGGCAGCGAGAAGAAACCTGCGGCGATGCGCGGGCGATACGCCGAGCTGCCCAGATAAAAGACCGGGGGGGGGGGGAGCGGGGGAAGAGTTTAAAGCAAGGCTGGGATGCGCTGCTGCTCCCAGGTGGAGCTGGGATGATGGGGAGCCCCCCGCCCTGCCCCACGCTTGGGATGCTCGTTTGGGAAGCACGAGGGGACAAGGAGCAGGACTCCGTGCTGGGGGGGACCCTGCTGCGTGTCCCTGAGGTCCCCAAAAGCTGTCCAGCACCACAGCCAAGGCGAAGGGCAGCTGACAAGTCAGGAAGGGTGCTTGGGGATCCGCAGAATGGCCCAGAACTGATTGAGGAACACCAGGATGCTGGAGAAAATGAGATTTATTGGCTTGTTGATACGTTTTCATGGGGGTTAACAACTCACAGGGGTCGGGCTGCTTGCGAGTCCCTTCCTGGGGGTCCAGTGCTTTGGGGCAGGGATGCCACCGCCTGGCTCCTGTCCTGCTGCTGCGTGAGGACATGCGTGATGACCACAGCAGCCACCAGGCTGCCCAGAACCAGGAGGCTGAGAACCCCCTTGGTTTTGCAGTAGGACCACGAAACGCCTGTAACCGAAGAGCCAAAAGATGGGGAAGGGGGGGCACTTCCCACCTTGGGGTCACCGAGCCCCACAGGGTTTGGAGCATCTTGCAGGACTGATCCTGCCAAGCCCCCACCTGCATGCTGCCACATCTCCCACTCATTCATCCCAAACAGATTTCAGTCCCAAAGCTCATTTAGGGCATAAAGGTGCAGGAAACGTCCCACAAACCTGTGCCTGGAGGGAGGCAGAGCGTCGCGGTGTTGATGCTGGCCGTGTTCCAGCTGACCAGGTTGCTTGCATTGCAGACGTAGGTCCCGGGCTCGGTGTCCCCATGCACACACAGCATGTTCCCGTGCCCCAGGGGCTCCCCATCACGGGACCAGCTGTAGAAGACCTTGGCAGCACCAGGCACAGAGCAGAGCAGCAAGAAGTTGCACCAGCCCTGCTCCTGCTGCAGCGTGCGCACCTCCAGATGTGGCTGGCCGATGGGCTCTGTGAGGACAGGGGGGTGAGAGGGGCCAGGGAGAGTGCTGGGGGGGGGGGAGAGAGGGGCAGCCACTCACCCCACACTGACACCTGGAAGCACTGAGAATGAGAGATGCCAGATGCAGTCTCAAAATCTACAGAGTATTTGCCGCTGTCTGCCTGGGTGACCGGGCTGATGCGCAGGGAGAGGGTCTCCAGGAGGAAGGTGGCTCTCCTAGAAAAATTACTCCTGAAATCTGGATCTTTATCCTTTGAAACCCTCACGATGACCAGCGTGGTTCCTGAATCCAGTATCACTCTCCATTCCAATCTTGCCCATGCTTGCAGCGGTTTCTTGGGCAGCAGCCACAGCTCTCCTCCGGCAGGCACAGCCCTGTCCTCGCACCCTGAGGTCCCAAAGAAGAGGCACGGGGTGAGCATGAGGCATGGGGGGTCCCGGGGTGGCAGAAAAACCTGGGGAGGGGGCTCAGCTGTGCTGCAGGGGAGTCCCCCACCCAGCCTAGCCCCAGGACTGGCCGGGGTCTCTGGCACTTGGAAAGTGGCCAGCAGAGTGTGGCTGCATCACCGCTCAGTTCCCCTCGTTCTCGGAAGGAGCTTGCAGTTAATTCCTCCTTCGCCTCTCACATCCTCCATCACCAGTTGTTTCTGGGTAGTGAGAAGGAGCTACTGTCATGTACACCCACTTCGGGGTTATTTGTTCCCAATCCATGCTTGTTATCTAGGGCCAATATGAAGAGAGTTGTCTCTTGCAAAAACCAACTCTGCCTTAGCTCTTGCTTGCTTCTCCCTCCCAGAGCACACTAAAGCCTTGGAAGCAGAATATTTTCTCATAGATATGCATCCTTTCCGGAAAAAAAAAAAAATAAATCACAATAACTGCACAGCAGGGAAAACTTCAGGCCCTCAAAAATCTGCTTTTTGCTTTCAGTGCCACTTTATTGGGGTTCTTCTCCCCCAGCCACTCAAAAGGTGATCTTGGACTTCACTAGTGACCATTTTCTTGCTGGTTGGCACAAAAGACACAAAAGAAAGAACCAAAACCAATGCCGCAGCTGAATGACGATCTGAGGCAGGCAAGTAACAGCAGTTTCCCAATGAGCTTACCTTGGGCTCGGCTGAGGAAGAGGAAAGGGATGAGGAGAAGGGCAGCGCGCTGCATGGTCAGCTGCACCACGCCACGCAGGAACAGGAACGAGGCGTGACGTGGCCGTGAGGGCAGGCGTGGGGGCTGATCCTCAGCAGGTTGTGGGGTAATGCATGGGGCTGGAGGCTGGCCCCTGTACCCACAGCCTGGCTCCATGGGGTGGTGGGAGGAAAGGGATGGAGCCCTGAGCAGGGGCATCGCCCAGCTTCGCCATGGGTGCAGCATCACCGAGGTCCTGCATGGCTACGAGTGAGAAGTGCATCAAAACATGGAACGAGCATGAGAAGAAGTAAAAAAAAAAATCAACCCCACACTCACGCCTTTATTAGGTCCCAGAGAAAGGTGCTGGGAGGTGAGGGAGAAGGCAGCTCTGGTCCCGTACCTCCCTGACCCCCAGGCTGGGCTGGGCACCGCTCTCTGATGGGCCGGATCCTGCTCGGGGCTGTCTCCAAGCTGGTGTCAGGGTGCTCGCATGCTGTACACTGTGAGCAGCCAGTGCCTCTGAGCACCTTCTCCTCCCAAAGACAAACTGCAAAAAGAAAGCAAAACCCCAAAAGCACCCCCTTTACGCAATTAAAATTAGTTTCCCCTGAGGTTTGCAGCCACTGCGCCCTGCAGCTGAGCTTGCTTGGGAGGCAGCAGCACGAATCCCCCCGGGGCCAGGGGAGCCTGAACTGGTCCCATCCTCCCCACTGGTGACGCAGGGACAGCGGGGGTGGCCGGAGGCGAGCTGTGGCAACGCGGAGGATATTGCACTGGAGTGTGCGCCCATGAGGGTTTGAGGAACCGCAGGCGAGAGAGGAAGTTGTTGATGGCCGGTCACGGGTTCCCAGGGCTTTCTCCAGCTGCAGACAGCTTGCTCGCACACTCCAGAGATGGAGCAGCCCCGGGATGTTCTGCCAGCACCGTGGATGGTGCTGTGCCTGGTGCTGTGGGTGGCAGCCCAGCTCCCTGCAGGTGCCCAAGGTGAGGAGGGGGCGCAGGGCGAGCCGATGGCACAGCGGGGTGGCTGGAGGCTGCGGGCAGGGCAGGGGGGATGCGCGGCTGGGACGTAGGTTTTCAGCCGGTCTCGGGGGTCCTGAGGAGATGGACAGGGGCTGGGGGAGGATTTGGGGTTTTCTCTGCCTCTGTCCTCTGCACCCAGGCCGGCCCAGCCCATTTGGGGCCATCGCTGGCCGCCGCGCCGCGCCAATTCCCTTTTGCAGGCCGGATTTCTCTGCTGAGTGAGATCAGCCCCTTCTGACAGCAGTTTCGGGGAACTGTCAGTGCCTGAGGCTCTTCCTAAAACTGGAGACTTCTGTGCCGTGGGGAGCAGGGCCCCTGCAAGTGCCTGGGCTCGGGGGCACGTTTGGTGCCTTCAGCATCCCCTGGACACATTTCCATAGCCCCCATCACGTTCCCTGCTTTTGGTGTGACCGGGGCGGGCCCCACCTCTGCCTCCTCTCCCCGACCACCCCATCCCCACCAGTTTGCAGGCCAGCTCTGCCAAACTGGCCCCGGGGGGTCACACCTGGGGGGATGCTGCTGGCTCGAAGCTTCAGCAACAAAACCTGCAGCAAGCTGGGGCTCAGTTGAGCTGCAAAACCTCCCTGGAGGTGCCGGTGCGGTTAACCTTGGCGTGCTCCACCAGCTCGGCCCCTGCATTCACACCTCTGCAGCCGACACTTTGCATTGTCTCTTCCCCTGCTCGCTGTGACCGCAGTGGCTGGGCAAGGCACAGCCTGGCCGAGGGCGTCACGGTGCCTTTTGTGGTTTTCTTGCAGCACAACGTGGTTGCAAAGCTTCAGCTGTCCCCATTGCTTGAAGGCTCCTGGGTGCCTGGAGCGGGGGGCGCACAGTGCAGTGCGATTCAGGTGTGAGCCCACGGGGGATAATTAGTGCTTATCCCTCCCAGGGAGGCTGCTCCTGCTTTTGCATGTCCCAGACTCTCCTATTGCTTGATTTGGGGGTGTCCCCTCTGTATCGGGGTCTGGTGGCTGCAGTTTAATGAAGGTGAGGTTTAGGCTCGGTGTCTCAAGTCGTGTCTCGCCCCCACCCACGCACGCAAGGAGAGCGAAGCCGGTGGCTTTGTAAGCGCCCTCCGAGCATCGATTTGGAGCTGTGATCCCCGACCTGGTGCTTGTCCCCGTGGCTGTGCCATACAGGGGGCTACGGGGGGGCGGCAGCACACCTGGCTGTGCCATGCCGAGCTGGGGACCCTCAGCAGCCCCCCACCTTTTGGGGCTGCTGCAGAGCCTGGTGCAGCCCCAGCTGCACGGAGGCAGGAGGAAACGGAGCGGCTGCGTGCGTGCTCGTCCCGGTGACCGCTGCCTTTTGTGTATGTGGTTTTTGTTGTTGTTTTTGTTTTTTTTTTTTTTTTTTAGGGGCTTTTTATCTCACCTCTACCAGAGGCCCAGACATCCGGGGCTGCTCTGAACAGGAAGGGGAGAAAGCCCAGCTTCGGGGTGGGGGGAAGGGTCCCTTGGGTAAGGTTCTTGCTGCTCCCCAGGCTGGGCAGGCAAGAAAGGAGCTGGGGCAAAAACGAGCAACTGGAGCCTTACTGGAGGGGCTGCAAACACCTCTGCTCAGGTCAGAGATGATACAAACACGAGCAGCCACCAGCTGTGAGTACGGGGTGCGGACAGACACACGGCCAGCCTGGGGTGCTGCAGGAGCTGGGGACACCCAGGGACCTGGTCCTGCTGCGCCGAGCACTGGTGCCCAGAGGGTATGGGGGCATCAGCACAGGGGGCTCCAGTGGGTGAGCCCCCTCTCCCACTGCCCTGGGGGCACCCCCCGTGCTCACCCCGTGCCTCTTCTTTGGGACCGCAGGGTGCGAGAACATGGCTGTGCCTGCCGGAGGAGAGCTGTGGCTGCTGCCCAAGGAACCGCAGCAAAAATGGGTAAACTTGGAATGGAAAGTGGCACTGGATTCAGGAACCAAGCTGGTCATCGTGAGGGTTTCAAAGGATAAAGTTCCAGATTACAGGAATCGTTTTTCTGGGAGAGCCACCTTCCACCCGGAGACCCTCTCCCTGAGCATCAGCTCGGTCACCCAGGCAGACAGCGGCAACTACTCTGCTAGATTTTGAGACTGCATCTGGCCTCACTCATTCTCAGTGCTTCCAGGTGTCAGTGTGGGGTGAGTGGCTGCCTCCCTCTCCCCCCCCAGCACTCTCCCCGGCCCCTCTCACCCCCCTGTCCTCACAGAGCCCATCGGCCAGCTGCACCTGAAGGGCACAAGTGCTGCAGCAGGAGCAGGGCTGGTGCAACTTCTCGCTGCACTGCTCCGTGCCCGGTGCTGCCAAGGTCTCCTACAGCTGGTCCCGTGATGGGGAGCCCCTGGGGCACGAGAACATGCTGCAGGTGCATGAGGACACCGAGCCTGGGACCTACATCTGCAATGCAAGTAACCCGGTCAGCTGGAACACGTCCAGCATCAACACCACGACGCTCTGCTTCCCTCCAGGCACAGGTAATTTGCTCTCGGTTCCATCCAAGCTGGCTTTGGGGGTGCACAACTTGCGCTGCTCCGGTCTCTGGGACCTACGTTTCCCCAGTGAAACTCCAGAGGGTGCCACGCTGCTGCTGGGCTAAAATGTGCCCAGCTTCCCCTCTTGGGAACGGAACGGTGACTGCTGGGCGCGGGAGATGTACTTCGGGGCTGAGGTTTCCTGGGCAGGTGCTGAGCTGTGGCACTGATGGGGACTGTGCTTCAGAAACATCCAGGCTCTGCCCCACATCAGCCTTCTGCCCTCATTCTTCTCAGGGTCTCCCACCCTGTGGTGGGCAGTGGCCGTGCTGCTGGTGCTGGCTGTCTCCCTCGTCACCTTTGTCGCCTGCTGGTGCTGGAGGAAGCGACGGAAGGACGGCTCGGCAGGTTTGACCCCGGGGCTGCCGCGGGGATTTGGCTCTGCAGCTTCTGTGCTCCTGCTAATGCTCTCGGTGCTGGCCCTCGGCCACCTGTCCCTGACGTGGGACCGGCCACCAAGCCCCTGGCTCTGCAGGGAGGTCCCCGGGGACGGGCTGAGTCCTGTCCCAGCACCGTGCCCAAAGCCGGTGGCAGCACCGGAGGCTTCACCCCATGGGGTCTCGGGGACTATTTGGGTTGTGATCAATGTTAGCTCTATTCAGAGGAGGATCAAAACCCAAAAACTCCAGACTGCCAAGGGATGCCTTTCTCCCTCTGCTTTGCTTGCCTTGAGTGCTTCCCAGGGGCTGAATCCCCCCAGCATGGGGGCTGCAAACGCTCATCCCTTGCTCTGACCCTTCAAGCTCCCCCAGGACACGTCGAGCCATCGATGACTGTCTACGAGGAAGTGGGCAAAGTCCAAGCTGGCCAAGACCTTGTGAGTGTTGGGGGCATCCCTGGGTGCCCCCTCCCCATGCTGTGCCCCCGGGCAGCATGTGGCCCCCGGGGCATCGGTTTGGAAGTATCTGTCACCCTGGGCTGTGTTCTTTAACCATCCTGGGGCTGCTTTCTCCTGCAGAACAGGAACAGGGAGGCCAATGTGGTAGGAAACACTATCTACGCCGTGGTCTCCACCAAAGCACAGGTGGGGCTCCAACCCAGGGGAGGGAATCTGGGTGGCCCCCTGGGCAGAGGGCTGCCCCTTTTGCCCATAACTTGCTTTTCATCGCACGTTTTCACTGTTTCACCCTGGCAGGGGCCCAGACACTTCCAGGAGCCCCAAAGCTGCACCATCTACTCCACTATCCAACCTACCAAGAAGGTGAGCTTTCCCTGCCGTGACTCCAGCCCATTTGCAATGGCAGAGAAACCCAAATCCTCCCCACAAGCTGAAGGCATCGGTGCTCGGTGGGACCCTGAAATGCCCTCAGGGACCTTTGGTGGGGCAGCAGCCACCCACTGCCCCTAACGGCAGGTCCTTTCTCTGCTCCGCAGTCCCCTTCCATCAGGAGGAAGAAGCTGGATCCAGCTCTGGTCTGCACTGCCTACACAGAGGTAAAACGGACCCCAGCCCCGCGGGGAGAGGAGCCCCACGCGTCTCCTCTCCAAGTTCCACTCTGCAGCTTCTGCTGCTGGAATTTGGGTGGCTTTGGGGGTGTTTTTTGGTGACTAATGAAAGCTCCAAATCACCCTCCCCGTGCGGGGCTGTAAATGTCATTGTGGGGGACCCGAAGCAACACCCGCCAGTCCCTGCTGGGCTGAAACTCCCCCCTTTCCTTGCAGCCTACGGTGCCTTTAAAACACCGGAGTCTCCCACCGCGGACCTTGTCCCTGTCTCCTGTGGACAACCACCACTCCTAGCCCCTGGCCGTTTCGGCAAGACCTCCTCTTCTTCTGGAGCCAGCACCCAAGGGGCAGCACCCGTGGGGAGCTGGGGACTTGCTCAAGATGAGAACATCCAGACGTGGGGTTTTACAAGGACTGCAAACCCAAACTGCGCCTTGGAGGCTTTGCTGCGAGGGAAAGGGGGACAGGCTGGGTGGTTGAAGCTTGTCTGTGGAGGAGACGGCTTTGAAATCTGGACTGTGCGTCGGTGGGAGCTGAGGATGCAGGGTGTGTGTTAGTGCCAGTGTATGAGCTTGTTTTTTGTTTGTTTGTTTGTTGTTGTTTTTTTATTTTTTTTATTTTTTGACAGATCCAATACACCTTGCAAATTCATTTTAAGTGTGAATAGAAGCCGAACTGCAAGAGGCAATTGTGGGGCTGGTTTAATTAGCTTAATTGACTATTTATAGCCTCAAATGTAACTTGGAGGGGGAAGAAGCGGGGGGTGGATCACCTTGCTCTGGGATTGGGAGCCTCTGAAGTCAATGCTGAGGAACTTGGAAAAGTTTCTGCTGTGTGAACTGGGGTGGCCCTGGGGATGGTTTCAGGGCAGGAGCGCAATGCTGGGCATGGCCTCGAGCACCTGGAGCCATCCCGTGTCCAGCAATGCCCCCATGTCCCTTCCCCCTGAAGTTATCCCATGGCACGAGTGGCTCTGGGAGAAGGGAGGGGAGGAGGAAGAGGAGCTCTGGCTTCAAACATCTCACCAAAGGCAAGATCAAGGGATTTTATTCGGGATTAAAATTAAATGTGCCACTTTGATGGAAGCTCTCTCCTGATGGTGCTGCCTGCTCCCCTCTCGTCTGATTCCCTGCATCAAAATATCTTTGTGTCTGCTCCCTGTGAAGGGAGCACTAATGGGGATCGTTAATGGGGAGCTGTGCTGGGAGGGTGCTGGGGGGGAGCTGGCTGTCCTAGCAAGGAAACCTGGGGGGCAGGCGCTGCCCATAGGGGCTCGGGCACTGCTGTGCTGCTGCCGATCGGAGCCAGCCCACACCCTGTCTTCTGCTCTTCAAGGCATGCAAGTGTGAGCAGAATACTTCTCACACTAAATACGGGTGAATGCAAAATGCAAATGAGCATAAAGAGATTTTTCTTATTTCTTTTTGGTGAATAATATCCCTTCCAATAGCATAAGTCCCTACCTCGCTGCTCTCTGCCCCCCAAAGAACCATAGAATATCGCGAGTTGGAAGGGACCCACCCATAAGGATCATCGAGTCCAACTCCTGGCACCGCACAGGTCTATCCAAAAGTTTTGACCATGTGACTAAGTGCACAGTCCAAACGCTTCTTAAATTCAGACAGGCTTGGTGCAGTGACTACTCTGGAGAGCCTGTTCCTTTGTGCGACCACCCTCGGAGAAGAACCTCTTCCTGATGTGTAGCCGAAACCTCCCCTTCCTCATCTTGACTGCCGCCCTCCGGCTCTCTCAGGCTGGAGGACACAAAAGAGGAAGAAACGGTGCACTCTTTAGTCTTTGAATGTACTTTTTTGACCGGAGAGCTGGGGGTTTGGTGTGTTTCTGTGCTGGAGCCATGTGAGTTCCAGAGATAATATCGCGTGCCAAACCGCAGTGAAAATGGCGATTGGGCTTGCAGCGGAGCTCCTCTTCATCTTCTTTATTCTGCAAGGTAACATCAGGGTGTGTGTGGGGGGTGTCCTCCAGGGCAAAGGTGCCGGGTGGGCTGTGATGCCGGGCTGGGGGCGGATGGTGCTGGGGAGGGCAGTGGTGGTGGTGGTGGTGGAGGTGGGCACTGGGGAGGTGCCTGTGGGTCGCCCGTCCTACCTGAGCCTTCCCCATCCTCACTCTTTTCCCCAGCAATTCCCACCCCCAAGCTGTGACCTGCAGAGAAACCCTGGTGTCCGTCTTGCTCCCCATGGGGCACCCGCAGTGTCCCAGCAAGCAGGGGGGCAAGGGGCTGCCGAGTGAGCTGGGGAGGGGGGAGAAAAGGAAGCAATAGTGGAAGCAAAAATGTCAGTGATAGAGCTCGGCATGAAGCTGTGCCTCTCAAGGTGCTCCGAGCATTGAGAAAAGGGAAGGCACGGATGTGTACGGACACAGGGGCAGGCAGCTGGAGCGTGGCCCTGAAGGGGGGGACGGGGCGTTTGGGGATGAGGCAGCCAAAATGGCCGCCCAAAGCCTGGGGTGCGGAAGAAATGGCTTCCTGCTGTCATCCAGCATCAGCACGACCTTGCCCCACGTTCCTTGTGCAGTTCTGGGCTCAGAACCATACAAAGGACATGAAAATATCAGAATGGGCCCAAAGGAGGGCAACGGGGGCATGGCAAGGACTAGAGGGCACGATGTGCGAGATTTGCGTAGCCCTGAGAGGAGCAGGCTGAGGGGAGGCCTCATGGCACCCAGCAGCTTCCTCATGAGGGCAGCACCGACGCAGGCCCTGGTCTCTTCTCCCTAGTGACAGGATGTGAGGAAATGGTGCCGGGGTTGGCCTGACAGGATGTTAGGCAAAACTTTGCTTTGGTCAGGCCCTGGAAGGAGTTTGCGGGGTCATGGCCATGTCCCCAAGACAGACAATGCTCAAGCAAGTGGACAGCACTCTTGGATATATGCCCTGACTCTAACTTCTGTGGAGGCAGGAGTCGGGCCGATGAGCCTCTGCCTGTTCCCACTATGGGGCATTGCATGGAAACAGTTTATTTTGGAAAAAATGTCACAAAATCATTAACTTTGGACAAGCCCTCCAAGTTCATTGAGGTCCAACCACCCCCTACCACCCAAGTCACCCACTAACCCATGTCCCCAAGCACCATGTCCAACCTTTCCTTGAACACCCCCAGGGGCTGTGACCCCACCACCTCCCTGGGCAAAGAGCACCGTGGCCACCAGGTCCAACCATTACCCTAGTGCTGCCAGCTCTGCCACGAGACCATGTCCCTGAGCACCACAGCAGATCTGTCCAGGAATGGTGGCCCAGCCCCTTCCCTGGGCAGCCTTTTCTGATGCCTCACAGCCCCAGGGGGCTACAAAGGCGGGTGGCTGAGGCCAGGGGCTGCCCCATCCCCCTGAGCCATGCCTGGTAGCACAACTCTCTGCTCTCCCCACAGCACGGGTGCAGGCGGATAACTTGCAGGCAGTAGGGGTGGTGGGAGGCGTAGTATACTTCAGGCCCCCACTGCCGAACCTGACAACCGCCTACCACCAAAGCCACTGGTACTGTGGCAGCTCCCTGAAGATTGCCATCCATGAGTACGGGAAGGGAGTCCGGTACCTCGATGGCCCTTTCAAGGACCGCCTTGAGCTCTTCCCCAACAATACGCTGAAGATCAGCAGCTTGCAGAAAAACTGACAGCAACAACTTCTGGATGTACCTGCAGGATGTGGCGGGCAAGGAACACGACTACAGCGTCTACCTGAAGGTGTATGGTGAGCCTGGGCGGGGAGGGTGGTGGTCCCTGACACCCCTCTTGGGACAGTGCGGGCTGTGACATCCCAGTGCCTCTTGCAGATGTGGTCCCCAAACCTACCGTGAAGTGCCATAGTGAACTGGGAACAATCCCGGAGCACTGCGATGTCACCCTGGAGTGCTGGGTGCAGCTGGAAGACGTGATCCTATGAGTGGATGCCCCCCAGCAGGGTCATGCCAGTGGGCTCTAACAGCACCAACAGGCACCCTGCCCCTCTCCTTCAACCCCTCCCTGGAAACCTACACGTGCAGGGCCAGCAACCCTGTGTCCTCCAGCAGCGCCCGGCTGATCCTCAGGCACCCCTGCTCGTGGACAGGTACCGGCTGTACCAGGTGGCAGAACCTGGGTGAGATGGGCGGGAGGTGGCTGCCGGGTGTCCCAGGGGTCAGGTCCCTTTTCCCATGGGCACGAGCCCCCCGTGGAGGGGACCATGGGGCTAGGGTGTTCCAGCCCTGTGGTGGTCCCACTGGGGCTGCTCTCATGTCTTTGTTTTCCCTCTGCCTCCAGCTGAGTCCTCTGCTGTCTCCACCGCCACCAAGACCAGCATGCTGATGTTGCTGGGACACCTCCTCCTCCTCTTCTTTGCTCTGCATTAATGACACTCTGTGGCTGATGTTGTCTGCTGTGGGGGTAGAACCTGGATGAAGCCCCCAGATGGCAAGTCTCTTGCAACGGCACTTTGAGAGTCCCGAGCAATGCGAATCACCAAATGGTACATTTAGCAGCTCAAAAATGCACCCAGCCCTAGCTCTGAGACCTGAGCCGAGCCTTTCCTGCAGGTTCCCCATGCCAGTGGGCATCCTCAGCTCTCTTGGTGTCTGCCAGCCACTGGGGGGGAATGCCCTTCGGGGACTGCTGTGTGGTGTGGTTATGAGGGCTGGTACACAGCACGTTTAGCCTGGAACCTGTGACACCTTCAGGGGAAGTGCACCCCTGGGTGGTTGAAGCTTGTCTTTGGAGAAGATGACTTTGAAACTTGGACTGTGCGTCGGTGGGAGCTGAGGATGCAGGATGTGCGTGTTGTGGTTTAACCCAGCTGGCAACTAAACACTATACAGCCCTTTCCACCCCTTCCCAGGATGGGGGAAAGAAACAAGAAACTTAAGCTTGTGAGTAGAGATAGACACAGTTTATTAGGACAGAAAATAATAATAACAACAACAATAACAATAATAAAAAAGATGTGTACAAAACAAGTGATGAATGATGTGATTGCTCACCACCCGCTGACCGATGCCCAGTCTAACCCCTAGCAGTCTGGCACCCCCTCCCCGGCTAGTCCCCCCTATATACCGTCCAGCATGACCCCAGGTGGCACGGAATACCCCTTTGGCCAGTTTGGGTCAGCTGTCCTGGGTCTGTCCCTTCCCAGCTCTTGCTGCACCCCCAGCCTGCCCGCTGGCAGGACAGAGCGAGAAGCTGTAAAGTCACCTATACAGCGAAAGAAATCTTTTCTCACATCTCATAGCTCACGCTCGTATAGGTTTCGGCTAGGTACTGCTGTTTTTGTGAAGTCTTCCTCTTCATCCTCCTGCTCCTCTGAAGGCCCGGCCTCGTCTTCTCTATACCTAGGCCTAGCAGAAGGCTCTCTGCGTTCTAAACGACCTGACTCTCTATACAATTTTTTCACCTTGGTTACGGGTGGAACCGATGCTGGTACAGTTTGTTTCCCTGGCTCAGCCCTGGGGCCCATTTTAGGGCTTGGAGCGGCCGCTGGGCCTGTCTCAGAGGTTGAAGTGGCCGCCGGTCTGTCACTGGGGTTATATTGGCATCGAGTGCAGCTCAGTAAGCACAGGCCAAACCCCAGCACGTTGCAGTGATTTCTGCATGTGTGGTACTGCCAGGGTGATGACACACCTTTTTCTAGCACTCGACCACTTTTTTAGGATTTTTCAGTTGTTTGGGGCTAGTTTGCAAAGCACTGGAGGTGCCCACTACTCTAGATGCCTGCCCATATTCTCCCACTCTCCCTTCCTCTCATAGCTATCCTGCCTCAGGACAGACCTCTGGATGACACTCTTAAGTATTTGTTTAACCTAAGACAAAACCTGAAGTGCATTCAGGAGACATAACAATGAGAACATGCTGGTCTGAACATCCCAAGGATGTTCATCACCGGGACGGGGAAGAGAAACGAGAAACTGAAGCTTGTGGGTTCATAGAGACAGTTTATTAAGACAGAAAATTAATAAAATAAAATAAAATAAAATAAAATAAAATAAAATAAAATAAAATAAAATAAAATAAAATAAAATAAAAACAAAATAGTAAATGTGTACAAAACAAGTGATGCACAATACTGTTGCACACTACCTGATGACTGATGCCCATCCTATCCCCAAGCAGACGACCCCCACCCCAGCCAGCCCCCCCTATATATTGTCCAGTATGATGCCAGATGACATGGAATACCCCTTTGGCCAGTCTGGGTCAGCTGTCCTGGGTCTGTCCCTCCCAGCTCTTGCTGCACCCCCAGCCTGCCTGCTGGCAGGACAGAGCGAGAAGCTGAAAAGTCCTTGGCTTGGTGCAAGCACTGCTCTGCAACAATTAAAACATCAGCATGTTATCAGAACTCTTATCCTAAATCCAAAACATAGCACCCTACCAGCTACTAGGAGGAAAATTAACTCTATCCTAGCTAAAACCATGACAGTGTGTTAGTGCCCGTGTATGAGCTTGTTTTAGTGTTTTTTTGTTTGTTTGTTTTGTTTTTTTGTTTTGTTTTGTTTTTTGACAGATCCAATACACCTTGTGAATTCACTTTTAAGTGTTTTTTAGTGTGAATAGAAGCCGAACTGGTTCTAGTCCAGTTCTAGCATGTCCGGCACTGCAGCACTCAGTGGTGGCGTGACTTCGTTCAGGCCACGATAGACCACTGTTAGTCTCCACTCACCATGAGACTTTTGCACTGGCCATATGGGACTATTAAAAGGTGAACGAGTCTTGCTGATCACGCCTTGTCTCTCCAATTGATGAATTAGCTTATGGATGGGAATCAGGGAGTCTCGGTTGGCGCGATATTGCTGCCAGTGCACAGTTGTGGTATCGATTGGCACTTGCTGTTCTGCGACCCCCAGCAGCCCCACAACAGAAGGGTCCTGTGAGAGACCAGGCAAGGTAGACAATTGCGTAATGCCCTCTGTCTCTAAGGCAGCTATTGCAAAAGTCCAGCGGAACCCTCCTTGAAAAATCCTCTCCTGAGATA